GATATGCTGACTCTGTAAACCGCTTAGAGAGGGCTGAAAGCCCTATGAAGCAGTATATAAGTCTAACTGCTATTGCTATTGCTAAATAGGACCATAAAAGGCAGGTGGCATTTTTAGTTGCAAAGTCATGTCCCGCCTATCACGAGGCAGGTAGCTTCCCACGAACAAAATCAACAGGGAGAATCTGGATTCAGTTAACAACGCTATGATTCCCTTATCAATGGCTTAACGACTCCAGCAAAACAATGCATAAAATTCTGGCATCCTTCTGTGGTTTGTAAGCCGAGGATTACCTGCACAGGTAGTCCTCGATTTATGACCACAAGTGAGCTCCAAATGTCTGTTGCTGGGCGTGACAGTTCTTAAGTGAGTCTCGCCCTATTTTACATCCTTTTTCCCCACTGTTGTTAAGTGAATCACTGCCATCAATATGTAAGTAACACATTTGTAAAGTGAATCTGGTTTCCGCATTGACTTTGGTTGTCAGAAGGTCGCAAAAGGGGATCACGTGACCGCAGGACGTTGCAAGTTGCAACTGTCATAAATAGGAGTAGGTTACAGTGTCTGAACGTTGATCATGTGACCATGGGGATGCTGCAATGGTCGTAAGTGTGAAAACCAGTCATAGGTCCTTTTTTCACTGCTGTTGTAACTTCTAATGGGCAGTAAACAAATGGTTGTTAAGTCAAGGATTATTCGTATAGTAACTGTATTTTGGGGGGAAATAAAGGGCAAAAATGAAAGAGGTTTGTTAAGGATAAAAAAACATTCATTGTTTATATTGATAACTTTACTTGAAGATTCAAAAGCAAAGCCAAAACAATCAATCCATGATTTGAAAGGTCCCCTTTCTGAAATAACAAATTGTCTTTTATAATGAAGGGTAGATGACCAGTGTATTCATGGTAGAGATTTATGTTGGCCCAGATCCAGTCATCATAATGCTGTCCACTGTGAAGTTCATATGTACATACAGCTTTTTAAATGTCATTTTTAATGAGGTAACAGAATAACAGAATACTAGAGTTAGAAGGGACCTTAGAGGTCTTCTACTCCAACCCCCTGCTCAGCCAGGAAGGCCCATCAGACAAATGGCTGCCCAATCTCTTCTTAAAAACTTCTAGTGTTGGAACATTCGCAACTTCTGCAGGCACGTTGTTCCACTGATAAATTGTTATGAAAATAATTTGTGCAAGAAAACAACCAGGCTCAGATAGCACCAAGACCCTCACAGCCCCCTTCCTCCCCCCTCTCCACCTTCCAATGTTGCAGCATTTACAACTTCTGGAGGCAAATTGTTCCACTGATTAAATGTTCTAACTGTCAGGAAATTTCTCAGTAGTTCTAAGTTGCTTCTCTCCTTGATTAGTTTCCACCCACTGCTTTGTAGGAAGTTATCACCCAGCCATCTCCCAGAAAAATGAAATATCCTGGGAAATATTGAAAAGGAAGAAAGATATTTTAAAAGACAAAATAGCTGCCTGCAGCTTCCTGCCCATCCCCCTTTGTCAATGAGCCATTAAAGCCTGAGCTAGTCCACTTTAAATAATAAAGAGTTCTCCCCTTCAGATCCAGAGTGATGGGATTAAGCCATGATAATATTGGCCCTTTACCCAACTCACCACATGGCATCTGAGAACTCAACCAAACCTGGATTCAAAACACAGCCTAGAGAGGTGCCCCTGCATGGCTCCATGGGAGTCTGACAACCAATCAGAATGCAAGCTCAAGACCAAAGGCCAGAAAGGGCATAAAACCAGGATCTCAGCTTCCCTTCTCTTCTCCACCAACATTGAAGCATGTGATCACCTTTTCTGTTCAGGACTCAAGCCACATGGTCCTGTCCTCCATTAAACTATCTTTCCAAGCAGCCTCCATGTCTCCAGTGTCTTTTTCCCCACTTGGAGCTGAACCCAGAAGGACATTTCTTTCATCAGCTTCTTGTTCTGCCCTCAGGTGCCTTGGAGACTAGTTTGACTCCCTCTTCTTTGTGGCAACCCCTGAGATATTGGGAGACTGCTATCATGTCTCCCCTAGTCCTTCTTTTCATTAAACTAGACATAGCCAGTTCCTGCAACCGTTTTAGTCTCCAGTCCCCTAATCATATTGGTTGCTGTTCTCTGCACTCTTTCTAGAGTCTCTACATCTTTTCTACATTGTGGTGACCAAAACTGAATGCAGTATTCCAAGTGTGGCCTTACCAAGGCCTTATAAAGTGGTATTAACACTTCAAGTGATCTTGAGTCTATCCCTGTTTATGCAGCCTAGAACTGGCTTTTTTTGGCAGCTGCTGCATAATGCTGGCTCATATTTAAATGGTTGTCTGCATGCGCGCGCTGGCCAGCGGAATTCAGCCTTTTTTAAAGCCATTTTGCGCCCTCCCAAGGCTCTAGAGTCTTTATAGGAGCCTGGGGAGGGTGAAAACAGCCCCCCCCCCAAGGCCCTCTGGAGGCTTCAGGAGCTTCCCTGAAGCCTTTAGAGCGCAAAAAAAACAGCCCTATGGGCAAATAGGAAGTTCAGGAATGGACTTCAGGTTTGCTTGTTTAGTCCTCTGGAGGCTTCAGGGACCTTCAGGAGGCTTCCCTGAAGCCTCCAGAGGGCTTAAACCGACCCTAGGAGCAAACCGGAAGTGAGTTCCGGTTTGCTCGTAGGGTCGTTTTTTGCTCTTTGGAGGCTTCAGGGAAGCCTCCTGAAGGTCCCTGAAGCCTCTGGAGGACCTCCGTGGGGCAGGGGAGGTTCTTTTTACCCTCCCTAGGCTCCTATAAACCCTCTGGAGCCTGGGGAGGGCGAAAAAAGCATGGAAAAATTGGGGGGGGGAGCACATTGCATTATGGGTGCGGCATGCCCGCGCACAACCCCCCTGCCCTCCCCCTCTTATGTTACGCGAGCCAAAAAAAGATTCACCATCGCTGACCTATGCTGTATCTGTGCATTTTGTTTTTCTTGCCTAAATGTAGAACCTTACTCTTTTCACCATTGAATTTCATTTTATTAGATAGTGCCCAATGTTCAAGTTTGTCAAGATCCTTCTGTATCTTAAGCCTGTCTTCTGGAGTGTTGGCTGTTCCTGCCAGCTTGGTGTCATCTGCAAATTTGATGAGTTCCCCATTTATTCCCTCCTCCAAATCATTGATGAAGATGTTGAAGAGTCCTGGGCCCAAAACAGAGCCTTGGGGTCCCCCACTGCATACTTCCCTCCATGAAGATGCAGCTCCATTGAGGACTACACGTTGAGTGCGGTTGGTCAGCCAGTTACGATTCCATCTGGTGATGATGCTGTCTAACCCACAGTTTTCTATTTTATAAAGCAGTAGGTTAAGCTCTACTTTATCAAATGCCTTATTGAAGTCCAAGTAAATTATATAATTGGGCCAAAGAAGCCTCTACTAGAAAATTGCACAGTTCAGAGAGCACCAAGGACACCTTGGTTATGTAAATGTTCCTCAAATGCTCATTATTTCTGCCTTGAATTCAGATAGAAGCTTCTTGTCTTCTGAAGTGGTCCTGGATAGCAGTCCAGAGTGTGATTTATTTAAGAAAGAAAACAATTTATTTCCAATGAATGCTTTCATATATGTCATTTAACTGCCCGGCTCGAGAACTAGCAACAGTCATAAAAAACAGCACAGTTTGACAGAGATTAGAAATGCTAAGTTTACACGTGTTATCAGATCTGCTCTTACTTGCCTAACCTGAAACAAAGGCCTCCTTTTAAGACCAAATGCCAAATAAAGTTCTTAATCCATTGTGCAGAATACCACACAGCATTGCAGAAATCTGCTCCAAGTATTATTATTTTTTAATATAAAGGCCACATTGTGAACAAATTTCAGGTCCTGAACAGTTGTTCAGTGAATTTTATTTATTTATTGTTTTACGACCTTTCTTGCCAAAGTTAAGGGAATCACTGCTGTTGCTAAGTTAGTAACACGTTCGTTAGTGAAAGTGACTTCCCCATTGACATTGCTTGTCAAAAGGTTGCAAAACGTGACCCCAGGACAGTCATAAATATGTGTCAATTGCCAAGCATCTGAATATTGATCACATGACCAAGGGGATGCTGCAATGGTTGCAAATGTGAAAAATAGCCATAAGTCGCTTTTTCAGCGCTGTTGTAAGTTGGAATGGTCAGTAATATTTGAGGAGTTCCTGTATTAATTTCAAACTTAAGATGCTTCGGTTTACATATCTCTCCCAGCTTGGGTCTTCATTTGAAGAAACTTTACTGAACAATGGCTTCACAAACGTTTTTATTGCTTTGGGAATCTGGGAAAAATTGACCACTCAAGCCAAATCAGAAGACTCGAAGGATCGGCTAATTCTGTTAGAATCGTTCTTGGTGTAAAGGCAAGGATTTATTTAAGTTGAATCCCTGATTTATAATGATATAAAGAAAGTAGCTTCATAAAACCATAAACAATTCTGAAGCTGCATCTCCTAAGAAGATCTAATCCAGTCCTCAATATACAGGAACAAAATCTTTCAGATATGGCTATCCATTCTCTTCAGAACCTCCAGAGATTGAAAACTCTCTCTGTAAGTATCACCACGAGAAAGAAAAGGAAGGAAGGAAGGAAGGGTGAAAAGAGAAAAAGGAAAGGAATAGAGAGGAAGAAAGGAAAAATATAACAGAGGGAGAAGGTAGGGAGGAAAGAGAGATCTAAATCGGGTCTCCAATCTTGGCAACTTTAAGACTTGTGGACTTCCATTTCCCAGAAGTCCACAAGTTTTAAAGTTGCCAAGGTTGGAGACCTCTGATCTAAATCACTATTTTCTATCCTGACAAGTTAGGGAATTCTGGGAGTTGAACTCCACCCTTCTTGAAGCAGCCAAGGTTGAGAAACACTGATCTAAATATAGAGAACATCACAACAGGAAAACGTGCCTGTGAACTTTGGGTTCCCTGCCAAAAAAAAAAAAAAAGCGATTTTCATCTCTCGAGTAGCTACACCTCCCAATCTTTGGCACTTCTGCAAGGGTCTATGGTGCACTCCCTTAAGGCTTATCAGGGTCCTCGACTCTCTCGCGGTGGCCTCTCGATGGTTCCCGCAGCCGCTCTGGCCGCCCACGTCTTCTCCGTGACTAGAAGTGGGCGGGGCGGAGGGCGTTTGTTATGATGGCAGCCTCTTCCGACGCGGCGGCGAGGCCAGAAGCGAGAGAGGCGAGGTGGGAGCGGCGTCGCGGGAACGGCTGAGGCCTTTTTTTTCTCTCCCCTTCTCCTGGCTGGAACGGGCAGTCTCGGCCCCACGGCGTCAAGCGGGTGGGCAGCCGGAGTCGTGGGGGCTCGCAGAACGCCCGTGTTGCAGCCTTTACCTCGCCTGGTTGTTGGGAGGGCGGTTTGGGACCTCCACCACCCCGTACCTGGCTGCAGCCCAGGGCGCATGCGCAGCTGAGCTTGTCCCTAGGTTCCAGTGAACCCCAACCCCAGAACTTGCCAGAAAGTGCGCATGCGCGGCTTAGTTTGGGCATGGGTGCTAGTGGGAGCCCCTTTCCCCCCGTAGCAAAAATTGGGAGAACAAACTACTTTTGGGGTCGCATTTTGAGGCCTTTTCTGATTGGCAGACCAGCCTTTGTGGTGATGGTGGGGCACTTTCTGCCAAGTTTTGCTAGTGGGGAGGGGCTCTCACTTGCGCCCAAGGCCAAGCTAAGCCGCGCATGCGCACTTTCCAAGATTATTAATAAAAAAATAAATGTATTAATGGTATTCATAAAAAAAAACATTGGAATTGGGTTGTATTGTTGCTTCCTCGCGGGTCTGTATGTGTGTTAAATACGGTAGTTCAGTGGTTCCCGAACTTGGCAACTTTAAGACTTGTGGACTTCAACTCCCAGAATTCTCCAGCCAGCTCTGGAGAATTCTGGGAGTTGAAGTCCACAAGTCTTAAAGTTGCCAAGTTTGGGAACCACTTCGGTAGTTCTTTATTATGTGGTGGGGCTTTTAAAAATGTCAAATGCCTCCCCCCTCCAGTCACCGAATCATTTATATATTTATTCCAACCCAAATTATTTATATATTAAACAAATTAGTCAGTCATCGACTTAACTATTGTTTATTGACCATTGGAAGTTACAGCGGCGCTGGAAAAAAAATGACTGAAGACTGTTTTGTCCCACTTAACAACCGTCACCTGATCAAAATTCAGGTTTGATCTCCCAGCTTGTTTGTAAACTGTAAACTGACTCATATTTACGACCACCGCAGTGTCCCCGGGGTCACGTGAGACCTTATGACCAGCAAAAGTCAGTGGGGAAGCCGGATTCACTTAATGACCATGTGGCTAACTTAACAACAGCTTAAGGTGAGAAAGTCCATAAAATGGAGCAGATCTCAACCACTGTCTTGTTTAGAAGCTGAAATTTTGGGGTTTTCTCTTGGATCATAAGTCGACTTGCCCATTAAAGGAATAATTTAAATAATTTTGAGACATTTCAGGATCCTAGGAGGCTGAATAGAACTTGATGCAACCTTCGGAATGGAGGTCATTGCAGGTCAGGGAGAAAAGCCTACATTTTCAGTGAGAGGGCTGGAATTTTGGACAACCTGGTGCATTCATTATTTTTCCAACTTTTTAAGGTTAGATAAAAGGCAGCTATTCTGCTCGATATGCTTTGAGATTTGAAACCAATGTTTTCTTTACGGATCTTAAAAAAAAAAATATGTCCAGGTTATAATTACTTCTGTGTATGCTTATTCAGCCGTTTAATATATATTCACCACCTTTATTATTTTTATAAACAATTCAAACTAGCCAACTTACCCAATACTCCTCCCTCCTCTGATTTTCCCTACAACAACAATCACCTAGCAGGGAGGGCTGGGCTGAGAATGACCTGTGGATACCCCGGGAAGTTTAGCTTCCAAAATACAAATGGACCTCAACTTACAACAATTCATTTTGTGACTGTTCAAAGTTACAAACGGCACTGGAAAAAGGTAACTTACGACCATTTTTCACACCTGCAGCCACGGGGAAGCCAGATTTACTTAACAACCATGTTACTAACCTGACAGCAGTGGTTAACTTAACTGTGGCAAGAAAGGTCGTAAAATGGGGCAAAATTCACTTAACAAATTTCTCACTTAGCTAGATAAATTTTGGGTCCAATTATGGTTGTTAGCCGAGGACAACTTGCAGTTCCACAGTATAAGGTTCAACTTATCTGTGGATAGGCTTATTTGCAGACGTACGGGTAGTCCTCAACTTAACAACCATTCGTTTAGTGACCAAAGTTAGAACACCACTGAAAACGGTGTTGATAATTTTTCACACTTAATGACCTTTGTGGCAAGTCACGTGATCAAAAATTGGAGGCTTGCTAAGCGAGCTTTCGCTTGTTTTACTATTTTTTTTTGCCACCGTTGTTAATTGAATTGCTGCAGTTGTTAAGTTACCAACACGGTTGTTAAGTGAATCTGGCTTCCTAATTGGCTTTGCTTTGTCAGAAGGTCGCAAAGGGAGAATCCCATGGCCTCTGGCACACTGCGACCATTAAAAATACGAGACAGTTGCCAAGCCTCAGTATTTCAATCACGTACCCACAGGGAGGTAGCAATGGTCGTAAGTGTGAAAAAAGATCATGTCAATTTTTCAATGCTCAGGTATGAGCGGTCACAATGAACAGCTGTAACTTTCTTAAACTAGGGGTGTCAAACTTGATTTCATTGAGGGCCACATCAGGGTTGTGGTTGACCTGGGGGCGGGGGAGTGGCCAGGGGGGCATGGCCACGGGGTGGGGAGGCATGGCCATGGGGCATGGTCACTTGAGTTGGGTAGCCCAAGTGCTCTGCCAGCAAAAATGGGCTCCCAAGCTCCGTTTTCAGCTGCGACCGCCTCCTGCAATCCTCTGCCAGTGAAAACGGGCTCCTGAGCTCCATTTTCGGCTGCAACTGCCTCCTGCAACCCTTTGCCAGTGAAAATGGGCTCCTGAGCTCTGTTTTCAGCTGCGACCCCCTCCTGCAGCCCTCTGCCAGCGAAAACGGGTTCCCCAGTTCCGTTTTCGGCTGCAACCGTCTCCTGCAACCCCCTGCCAGTGAAAATGGGCTCCTGAGCTCCATTTTCGGCTGTAACCGCCTCCTGCAACCCTCTGTTAGCAAAAACGGAGCCCTGGAGGGCTGTGGGCCATTCCTTAGCTATTCCCATGGCGCTCCTGGAGGCCAGATCCAGCACCCTGGCCTTGAGTTTGACACCACTGCTCTAACCAAATCATCGTAAGTGGGGAAAAAACCACCTGTATTGTTTTTTTAATCATCTGCATCAACGGGTCGAAGAGCAACGTGGAGCCCAGATTGTCTCAAATTCCCCTTTTTTTCCTCCCAGGATGTCCCTGTGAGTTCTCCTTCGGAGGATGTCCATGATCCTCTTCACTTGCGTGGTGCGGATAAAGGACGGACTTCCCCTCTCGGCGTCCAGCGATTTCCACCTAGACCCTCAGTTTTTGGAATGCAGGAAGAGACTCAACATCCTGTCCTCCGTCCTGACACAATATCCAGAACGCGGCACGGCCAAAGAGTGTGACCTCAGTATACAGTAAGTCATTCTCTTGCCTACCACCTAGTCCCGTTTTACGCCTTCGTCGTATTGTTATGTGTGTCGCTTCGGTCATTCATTCTGATTGGACTTACGAAAGAGCGAATAAATACAGGTAGTCCTCAGCTTACGACCAAAACTTGACACCAAGATTAATGTGGCTAAGTGAAACACTTGATAAGTGAGCTTTGCCCCATTATACGACCTTTTTTTTTTTTTGGCCACAGCTTGTTAAGTGAACCATTGCAATTGTTAGTAAATTAGTAAGAGGGTTGTTAAGTGAATCTTGGCTTCCCCTTTTGACTTTGCTCGTCACGTAATTACGTGGCCATTAGGACATTGCGACCGTCATGAATACGAACCACTTGCCAAGTGTGTGAATTTTGATTATGTGCGGCCGCTTGGGATGCCTCAACGGTCGTAAGTGTGAAAAATGCACCGTCAACTTTTTCAGTTGTAACTTTGGGCGGTCACTAAATGAATTGTTGTAAATTGAGGACTACCTGTACACATAATCCAGTGCTATGGTGGCGCAGTGGCTAGAAAGAAGCACTGCAAGGACTTACTCACTGCCCATTGCCAGCAGTTCAATCCTAAGCGGCTTAAAGTTGACTCAGCTTTCCATCCTTCTGAGGTCACTAAAATGAGGACCCAGATTGTTGGGGGAAGAGGCTGTAAACTGCTTAGAGGGGGCTGTAAAAGCACTATGAAGCGGTATATAAGTCTAAGTGCTATTGCTATTGGTACCAATCTTTCTTCTTCTTTGTCTTCGTCTTCTTCTCCTCCTATTCCTCCTCCTCCTCTCTGCAAACTCCACTCCCTTCCAGGCCTGCTGAAGTTAATCAGTTGGGTCATGAAACATCTGCAAGAAAGCCACCAAATTCAGAGAGCAGCAAAGACCCCAGTCGTCTTCTTCTTCTCCTCCTTCTTCTCCTTCTCCTCCTTCTCCTTCTTCCTCCTCCTCCTCCTCCTTCTCCTTCTTCCTCCTCCTCCTCCTCCTCCTCCT